CTCTCAAAGGTATGTGTACATAGAAAACTCTCACACACACAACTCAGACACAGCACACAGACCCAGGCCCACAGTTACATTCATACTTACATGCACACAGACACATGCACACATCAAAAGAATGAATTGTCAATAGGCTCTGGAGTAATGCTGAAACTATTTTAAGAAACAGCAGATGCAATATTCTCTGTTAGCAAAACAAATGTCATCATTATACATGCTAAAAACCCATGTTGTTAAAAGTATGTAATTTGGTAATCTTCCAAATAATACAAGAGCAAACCAAATCACTTTGTGGTTGCTGTCAAACACCCACAATGTTTCATCTTGCTTGCGAGGCACAGAATGACATTTGACAACTTCTATCTCACTTTCCCCACCCATACTGCTTCCACTTCCTTTGGAAATTCAACCAGAGGAATGTCATAGGTCAAACGTTAACAACATGTTATAGATTACCGGTAAATCACATATAAATTGTGCCAGGTGTTTTTTCATCTTTAAAGTTGACCTCCTGCAGATCTTAGTCTCTTTCAATCGCTTTCTGCCATTCTCTCATTTTGATCACTTGAGAGTTTCATTGAATGACACATTACCTCGGCACGAAAGAGGAAGAGAGATTGATATGGGAGGGGGGAGAGATAGAGCGTTTCAGTCAGGTCACAAACTCCAAAACACTTTATTCTTTTCTCTTCATGAGTTTGTCGTAGTACAAGAAGTAATTTTTCATAGTATTTATTGATTTTTGTTGCTTTTGATCATCTGTGGTCTATTTACATAGTAGGAATAAAGTAGAATCACGTGTGGTTCCTATGTACATGGTTATACCAATTGGCCGGTCAGTGTGTCTGTGACGTTCACAGTTCTGTTTGTCACGACAACACACAAATATCAAGTCCATTTAAACTGTCTAGGCTCTAACAGCAAAGTACAAGATGACGAGGCCAACATCAAGCCACACTTGCAGCCCCAGAATGTAGACCCATTCAACAGATCTTCAAACAATAGCAAGGCTGTCATTTAACTTTTTCAAATGCCTAAAGCAAACAGCCACAGAGAACAGTGGTGAGTGTTGCTCAGTCTCATGAGTACAGGCTCTCCTGCTGCGGGTGGATGCTGCAGCGCCTCCTCAGTCTCTGTCTTCACCTCCACTCCACTTCTGTACAGTCTTTAATTCACAGCAAGAGAAAGAAGAAGGCAACTACAATGAATCAGCTCCCACTGCCTGCTTGAAACAAAAGCTCTTGCCCCCATTTACTTAGATCGAGTACTGTCTTCACTTTTGATGAGGAGAAACAAGCACCTCTGGATGAATTCATAGTGGATATGTGTGTGTGTATGTTTGCCTTGCAAATGTCCTTGTTTCTGTTTTGGCTCAATAAAAGATATTTTTGGCAACAATGAAGAGCTTTCTGTGGGACATTGTTTTGGTAACAATAGTGTATTATATCCCTTGTCTCCACAGCTAACTACCACTATTAAATGATAACTTGAAAAAGACCATTGGATGGTAAGAAAGGGAAATTATAAGTAATATAAAATAATACCCTGATCTCAAGAGGCAGGTCTAAAGAGAAATTACATTTTAAAAAGTTTGAAAGTTTTTAAGTAACTGAAGGTCGAGGGTGGATTGGTACATTCAGAGAGCTGAACTTGGCCTTGGGGTACCAAAGAAAACTTGGGAGCATTAGGGTTAGACAGAGTCGTTGAACACCTCTGAAAAACACCCATCATTCATCTTCAGAGGGCAGGGAAGGTTTGACGGCGAAGGCTGCTTCCGTAGAGTCAGCCACGACTCCCACAGAAGGTCAATCTGTTTGCTCACATGTGCGTTAAATAAAAGTCAAGAGAAAGAAAGGCAACCAAACAATCAGAAAGTGGAGACACGAGTATGAGACAGACTAAAAGGAGGCTCTGGTCATCGCATTAGTCCCCAGCTTCCTCCTTTCGGCTCCAGTCACAGGCTGGTGACCAGCTGCATCTGTCCATCTCCCTCATTGAGAGCGGGCTCCTGAGCCTGGTGTCCCTCCCCACTTGGTCTCCGAGTTGGGGCCTGGCCGAAGGTCTGCATGGGCGCCCCGCGAGAGCCCACGACCGGCCTCACAGAGCTGTAGTACAGCTCCTCGGGAGGCTTGGCTGAACGGGGGACCACCTCCAAGGGCTCGGGGCTGCTGTCGGGGTAGGGAGAGTCTCGCAGGTTAGTGATGCTGGTGTACAGGGAGTCATGAGCGGGGGAGTCCGGTGCCCTGTTGCCTCCGTGCCCGGCACCGCTCTGACCACTGTGGCCACTGTGGCCGAGGCTCTCGGTGAGGTCAGCCGTGTAGCTCTCAGACTCGTCCGGGTCGCTCTGGTAGAGGACTGACTGGGCGCGCTGCAACAGCAGGGGTTCCTCCAGAGCTTTGTAAAGCAGCTCCACATCCTGCGGTGTGCGCTGCCGTGCTTCTCTGAGAAACTCCTCGTCCTCGTCCATGCTCACGGTCGGATCCGGCCTGGACATAGTCTGGCCTCGACCGACCCCGCCGTGAGGCTGTCCCCTGGCCAGACTGCCATACGCTCTGTCCTCCACATCGCCTGCACCTCCTCCGCCTCCACCAACAACACCACCTCTCAAGTTATTGTGCACGAGCTCGGAGATGATCATTTTCTCGAAGGCCGCAGCGTCAGACAGGTTTCGCCGGATCCCTCCGCCCCCCAGGGCCTCCGAGCAGCGCGGGTTGAAGACAGGCGAAGGAGTGTCTGCGGTTCCGCCGCCGAGGAAGTCACAGCTGCCCCCCCCTCCACCCGACGGGCCACTGCGCATGGAGTAGCTGTTGTTGAAGTTACCATTCAGAGGAAGGGTTTCCATTCCACAGGGGTCACGAGGCTTAGACAGCGTAGTCTCTGCACCCAAAAACAGCCAAAAGGGTTTTTGTGTTATTTTCACATGGGGAGATTTCCAACAGTGGTCAGAAAAGGAACATGTTAATTAGACTCACTTGGGTCACGGAAGGTTCCTTAATATCCATGAGAATGTTGAGAGCGTAAATAAAAAAGAGTAGAAAGTATGTTGTTGTTTTTTACTGACGCATTAAGACATTTCAAAATAATCACTGCAAACACTCTCAGCTCATCTCTCAGCTCCCTTTGCTAACCATTCTCACACAACCAACCTCTGCATTTAGTGTCACATTAACACTGATTGATTTAGACTTAGTCCAGGTCCTGTGACATGACAATCCGTAACATTCATAGGGCATCGAAATTCTAGAAATGTATAAATTCCAGTAAAATCTGATTCACATAAATCATTTTACAGTAACACTAACATCTATAGTTACATTCCTTTCCACACAACAAAACTGTGTTAGTTAGTTATTTAATTTGACCAAATTATCTTCACAGAATTGGAAAAAGCCACAGCTGACTAGAAATTGAGAAGTATGTTCATTTTTAAATTTTAATGCATAGTTTGACTTTAATCAACGTTCTTCTTCGGTGGCAGTGTGGATAATTAGATATTCTAATGAAGTGCTCTGTCTTTCCTCAACTACTCCCTTCTAAAAATGACTTGGCTGCCAGGCCTGTGGCCATCAGGATTGACTTATTGTGCAGAAAGGCTTTAAAATATTCAACAGAGACGCTGCCTTAAATTTCACTCCTCCAACACTAAGCCTGATACTCTGCGAGATGAAAACAAAGCCAACGACTAGCCACACACAGACCCAGAGCTCTCATTTAACTCTGCGTATACGCGCACTGAATTGGAGCAATTAACCAAACATGTCTAAATCTGCTGTTTTATGCATTCAAAAATTGAAATGGGAGCACGGCACGCTTAGAGTGAGCACATACCTGACTGACCCGTATCCAGATGGCCTCTCCCTAGCCACAGAGCTGTCTAATCCCTTACTATGGCCATCGTGATTGAAGCCAACTATTTTTTTCCTGCTTGGAAACAAGAAAACCATCCTCGAGATTTCTGGCAGTCACAGCTGTAGCTAAACTTCTAATCAATTTGCGGCTGTTCTCATAAAGATTCAAGATCTGACCAGATGGCTGGTTAGGCTGTAGGCACTGTCTGGCTCTGTTCTGCTCAGCCTAGTGAATCCGTCTGACAGCTACATAGTCAAAAAAAATAAAAAAATAAATAGAAAAGACACACACAGACACAAACACATACCAGTACACGCTCAACAGCATATACCGTGTCAAACCACTGACAGCGCAACAGAGAGAAGGACAGCAGGCTGAGTTCACATTCCACAAACACACATGCGATGTCGATAAGACTGGGCTGTTTTCTGTAGAGCTAACCAGTAGAGTTGAAGACGCCGGGTGAGGGCGGGGTGAAACTTTCAGCTAGCAGAGTGTTGTAAGGCGATGTGCCAGTACGAGTCTGTAACACTGGGTTCGTCAAGAGGTGGTTGCCCATGGTTGCTGCAACACACACAAACATTCAAAAAATGATCATGACAATAAATATGATAATAAACTTGTATGAATGTATGAAACATAAAGGCAGAAACAAAGTATACAATAGGTATAACATTCACATTCTAATAACATCTGGAATGATAAAAAATATCTACTGTTTATTCAGACGAGGTTATGTTTTTTTGTCTGCCATTTCTTTATGGCATAATGCATTTCACAGTGTTTCTCTCAGTGTTTACGCTTTCTGATGGTAACCTTTGAGCAGAAATACAATTGCAGGGGAAGGGTGCTGTTTGGAGCATTGCCATTCTTCTTCTTTTTCTTTTTTCTCTCTTTTTTGTTCTTTTGGCTTCAGACAACGTAGTCAGATGGGGAGAACCATAATGCATGCCATTATGTAGTCTAAGGGTGCAGTCATGGAAACAACAGTTAATTTCACTGTGAAATGTGAATGCCACTACAAGACAAATATAATTCAAAGAAATGGCACACTGAGAATGCTGTATAATGCCCATGTATGGCTTCAGCCTGAGGCAACTCGAACAGAAATGCCATGAAATTAAAAATAGGACAGCATGACGGAGAGTCGTCCGAGGCAAAGTGCAACCTTCAGGTCCCCTGCCTACCGTTTATCACACAGCAAGAGCGCAGGGAATTCTAAAAAAGTAAAATATGCACTCATACACAGCTATTTATTTCTCCTTCCCCCTCCTCTTACACTTCCTCTGTCCATCTTTCTGGCATGTCAAACAAGTCCCTCTCCCCTCATTCTCTGGCGTGCTTTGCTGTGTCGACTCAGCCACATTTTCTCAGTTCCTCATGCCAGAATTTTTTCAAACATCACCAAATTAGTTGGGATTAGTTTCTGCGTGTACCTCATGGGGATATCTATCAGAAAATTTAAGAAACTGGCTCTGTGTGTAGAGAAAAGTAGGGCAGAGGGAAGCATGGGAGGCCCTATGTGTGTGTGCACCGCACGCCTTCTCTTGTGGACAGATTGCTATTGTCAGGAAGAGACTGCGGTTCATAAAGAAGTGAAGTGGGTAAATCAAAGAGATCTAAGATGGCAGTGATAACAATAGAACATCTTTCCTCCAGATTCTGTCTTTTTAATTATTTCTCCATGATAGTGTGCTCACTCTGTACCTCTCTGCTCTTCTTCTCTCTTTTTACTTTCTGCCAACTTCTCTGTGTTTCACAGAATATTGAGGTTTGATGGCTAAACTGTTTGTATTTAACAGCCTACCATTAAGGG